GATGCCTCCCGGCAAAGCAAGGACCGGGTGACCCAGTAGCTCCGGCAGGGGCTGGACGAGGTGGAACAACGGGCAGCTGGGGCGGTTCTGTAGCTACGAAAGTGGCGACATGACGCGGGTCACAGCACCGCGCGTCGGAGCAAATGCAGCTGTACATTTCCAGCAACATCGTCGGGGTGACGTCCGACATGACGCAGCAGAGTGTCGGTGTCGTAGGTTCCATCAGTTCGGAATAATGGCATCGCCTCAACTTTGATACGAACTGGAGGCTCCAGTCAGTGAAAGCCAGTCTCCAGAGTCACTCCGCTAAATTCCAGGCACCCGTCATCGGACCGTTCCGGTGCCTCCGAGTACACCAGCTGGCGGCCGTGAGTGCAAGACTTGCGTAGCAGCTTTTCCGTGTCACACGTAGTACAGATTGCGACGGCCGGTCCGATGGAACATGTTTCACACCAACTGTGTGTCCAACGCCCGCGCTGATCGCACGGTGCCGCGCCTAAACGGCGCCCTCCTTTTCGTAACATATATACATGGCAACAGCATACGCCTCGCGGGCTCCCGGTACAGATACTCGTTGACCCCACGTCAATTCCAGAGCCACCACTCGAGGGTGAGTGCGTAAAAAGTCAGCAGCCGCGTTTTTCCACCTGGCCAGTCATACACTGCGAGCGCCATGGCTGTACGGTAAAGATGGACGTTCACAAAGTGCTGCGCCTGCCACGAAATCTGCACCTCGAGGTTCACAAAGCGCTGCGCCTACCACGAAATCTTGCCATGGAGGTTCACAAAGTGCTGCGCCTGCCACGAAATCTGCACATGGAGTCATCTCACCAGTGGTGTATGATGAGTGGTGTATGATGAGTGGTGTGTGATGAGTGGTGTATGATGAGTGGTGTATGATGAGTGGTGTACGATGAGCGGTGTATGATGAGTGGTGTATGATATGTGGTGTATCATGAGTGGTGTATGATGAGTGGTGTATGATGAGTGGTGTATGATGAG